AAAGGACCTGAAAATTGTAAATTTTCTGGTTGTAAGACTTCGACAGAGAATGATGCCGAAGCCACTCTGGGTGAAGCACGAAGGCACTTAAACAGGCTTCGGATCTGTTACACCAATGCACGAAGCTTACTTAATAAGCGATCGGAACTAGGTGTACAGATTGACTCTACAAAGCCATACATAATCGCAGTAACAGAAACCTGGCTGACACAGGCTATAGATAGTATGGAACTTGATTTCGAGGGTTTTACGTTAGTAAGGGCCGACAGAACACAAAAGCGCAAAGGAGGGGGAGTAGCTCTATTCATTAGGAATGCTATCCCATTTTCCATTATCGATAGTGTATCCCATGAGAGTGGGACGTGTGAATTAGTTAGTCTTCGCTTAAAATGCAAGGGACAAGAGCTGCTGATTGGTTTGGTCTATCGCAGTCCAAGCTGTGAGGCAAATGAGATCCTGTTAAGCAGTCTCAATACTTGGTCCCAAAGTGGTCGATGTCTAATCCTAGGGGACTTCAATGCACCTATGGTAGACTGGGAAAATCTGCGAACTAAATCGTCTGAGAATTCTTTCGAGCAGGAGTTATCACATGTGCTCTAGTGCAACATGTGAAAGAAGCGACAAGGTACGATCCGGACAGTGAATCATCCTTATTAGATCTTATACTGACTCACTATGAGGATGATGTAGCGAACCTCCATCATATGCCACCCCTAGGTAAAAGTGACCACTCAGTTTTAACTTTCGACTTCCATATAACTGCCAGTCACGAGCACGCGTCAGTCCAGTCCAGACCCAACGTCCGGAAAGCAAACATACCAGACATCATGCACTCAGCATCGTTAGTAGATTGGACAATAGACCCAGAGTCCTCCATTGAAACGGCCTGGGACGCATTTCGAAATTCATACTTAAAAGTTACCACATCTCAAATCCCTTGGACTATACTAAAGGGGCCGAAAAACTCACCACCATGGTTCAGTAGGGAGTTCCGTATCCTTCTCCGTAAAAAAAGGAAAATGTGGGATAGATTTAGGTTACTGGGGACTGATGAGTCAAAATCTCAGTATCGAAAGGCGCAGAATACTTGTGCCTCGACCCTCCATAAGTCTAGAAAATTGTACGAAGGAAAACTTGTTAAGGAATCCATAGAATGTCCTAAACGCTTGTATTCCTATATAAACCAAAGGACAAGGAGAAAAGGAAATATTCCTGCTCTATGGGGAGACAGTACTGCTTCATCATTAGTGGAGGACGACTTTGGTAAGGCTCAAGTGTTCTCGAACTACTTTAGCAACGTATATACCATAGAAGCGCCCTTCCCGTCAGCGTATACAGATCCCCCCATACATACACTGGATAGCGTGACCATTAAAGAACTCGATGTCTTTGGTCTGCTAAATAAGCTTGACATAGGTAAATCCACGGGGCCCGATGAATTACATCCTAGGCTACTGAAGGAATTATCTAACTTCGTTGCAAGCCCTTTAAGTACATGCTTTAACCTATCCGTTACGCATGGTCGTTTACCAAAAGACTGGAAAAACGCCATAGTAAGTCCTGTCTTCAAAACAGGTACGAAACACAAACCTGAGAACTACCGCCCCGTTAGCCTAACTAGTGTGGTTGTTAAAATCTTAGAAAAGAGTGTTTGGAAGGAGCTGTTTAAGTATCTCGATAAAAACCGGATCCTTTCGGAGAAGCAGCACGGTTTCAGAATAGGTTATTCTTGTCTCACTAACTTATTAGTGGCTCGTGCTGGTGCGCTCTTAAGGACCAAAAGCTACCTGTAGACGTCGCCTTCATTGATGTAAGTAAAGCTTTTGACAAAGTTCCGCACAACCGGCTGTTATATAAGTTAAGAAAAGTCGGGATTGGAGGCAATTTATTGATGTGGATAAAAGACTTCTTAGTTGGGCGTCAACAAAGAGTAAGGGTGAACTCAAAGTTATCTAGCTGGGAAACTGTGCTTAGTGGAGTGCCCCAGGGTACAGTTTTGGGGCCAGTGCTATTCCTCTTATATGTAAATGACCTTCCTTGTCTCCTATCATCATCGGTCTTGCTATATGCTGACGATGTCAAGATATGGAGAACGATACGATGTAAGTGATAGCTTAGAACTTCAAAATGACCTGAAGAAGTTATCTGAATGTTCTCAAACATGGCAGTTGCCGATAAATACTTCCAAGTGTGTTGTGATGCATATCGGTCATCAAGGCACAGATACATGCACGATGAATAACACTGAGCTACCTGTCGTCCAGACATGTAATGACTTAGGAGTTATCGTTAGTCAAGACTTAAAGACTACTGCACACTGCCGTGCAATAGCCGCCAAAGGTTTTAGAACCTTATGGTCAATACGTAGGGCTTTTAGTCATGTCGACGCCAAAACGTTTTTGACTTTGTATACAGTGTTCGTTCGTCCTAAACTTGAGTACTGCATACAAGCGGCTAGCCCCTGCCTTAAAAAAGACAGTGAGCTTCTGGAGAAGGTTCAGAGAACGGCGACCAAGCTGATTCCCGGAATAGCGAAGCTTCCGTATGAATCTCGACTGGCCAAGCTGAACCTTTTCCCGTTGTCATATCGAAGAACTAGAGGCGACTTGATTACAGTATTCAAATTGCTTAGTGCCAAATTTGCACCTGATATGCCCTCATTTTTCTTGTCTTCCAAAACACAGAATTTACGAGAACACCCCGAAAAAGTTCATAAGCCGAGAACAAAACACTTGTCAGCCGACTATCGACTTTCCCATCGAATCATCAACGAGTGGAATTCACTACCTCAGCACGTGGTTCAGATTCAGATTCAGATTTGCGTATTAAGGATAGAAGGCCTACGGCCTATGTTATTCCTTTTCTAGTATGCTTCTGTGAGTGTCCAGTCTTCTCTTGAAAGAGTCAATTGAAGGTGCGGACACCACTGCTTCAGGCAGCAGGTTCCAAGTATTGATGACTCGGTGTGAAAACCTGTATGCCACGGGTATTTTGTTCGTTCTTGGCTTTTCTACTCGCCCGCTATGTCCTCTGAGGTGTCCCGATCTAGTGTGAAGAAAGAGAGAGAATAAGTTAGGTCCGAAATCATTTCTAAGTATTCTGTACATCAATATTAGATCTCCCCTTAGTCTGCGATAGGACAGAGTAAAGAGGTTCAGTTTTTCAAGCCGCTCTTTATATGATAAACCCCGGAGTTCCGGAATCGCACGCGTAGCTGCCCTCTGTACCTTTTCTAGTATGTCTGAGTCACCTTTTAAACAGGGGCTTGCAGCCTGAACACAGTTCTCTAACTTAGTTCTCACTAAGGATGTGTATAATGTGGTGAACATGGTCGTATCAAGCTTAGTGAATGTCCTTTTTAAAGCCAAGAGGGTTCGAAACCCCTTAACTGCGACCTCCCGGCAATGGGCCGTCGTCTTAAGATCATTGCTCACTGTCACCTTTAGGTCCTTATGAGACCGGACTACGGGTAATGACACATCCCCTATGTTGTACGTATTAACCTTTGAATCCTCCAAGTGCATGTAGACACACTTTTCCGAGTTGATAGGCATCAGCCACTCTTTAGACCAGTTTATCATATTATTTAAGTCCGCCTGAAGAGTAAATGCGTCTTTGCCTCCAGTTATTACTCGCCAAATTTTTACATCGTCAGTGTATAATAACATTGGAGACTGTACTATACTTGTAAGATCATTAACGTACATTAAAAAAAGTAAAGGACCTAGGACGGAACCTTGGGGTACTCCACTAAGTACTGGTCTCCAGATGGAGCACTTGGAATTTATTCTTACTTTTTGCCTACGACCTACTAGGAAATCCTTAATCCATTTTAAAAGAGGTCCGGCAATACCAAGGTTTGCCAACTTCAATAGCAGTCTATTAGTTGGCACCTTGTCAAAAGCCTTACTGAAGTCTATGTAGACAACATCCATTTTTTTTTTTTTTTTTTTTTTTTTTTTTTTGAGCTCCCTAGCTATAAGAAAGTTCGTTGTACAGGATAGACCCTTTCTAAAACCATGTTGTGCCATGTTCAGCAAGTTATTGGTTTCCATAAATGCTGTTATGGTCCGTTTGATTATTCTTTCCAGTATTTTAATTACAACACTGGTGAGGCTTACGGGTCTGTAATTTGATGGAACTTGTCGTAGACCAGTTTTATGTATGGGAGTGACGATTGCGTCCTTCCAGTCCATAGGTAACACACCTTGGTCAAGTGACATTTTGAATATCACAGTCAGTGGGGCTGCGATATATTGGGCAATATGTCTCAAGATTTTAGGGTGTAGTTCATCTGGTCCTGTCGACTTCTCCATGTTTAGGGTGCTAAGAGCCTTAAGCACATCGTTTTGGTCGAAGTCCACGGTGAGCAGCTGGTTTGTTGACTCTGTAATTGGGTCTGGTTCTTTCTCTAGAGGAGGTTCCTGAGTGAAAACTGCCCCAAAGTAGTCAGCCATAACCTCAGCTTTTTCCTGATCTTCCTCTATCATTTCAGATTCACTTCCTACTTTAATTAGGTTGGGAATCCAATGATGATCCTTGTTCTGTAGTTTATGTACGAGAATATCCTCTTGGGCTGCTTGAGTGCAGATTCTGCCAGCTGCATTTCATATTTTCTTTGCGCTTCCCGAATTTTAGTTATACACTCGTTTCTTATCGATCTGTAGCGTTCCATCGTACCTGCTGTGCCAAGGCGGATGGCAACATCCCAGCATTTCTTCTTTTGTCTTAGTAAGCGTCGAATATCCCGCCCTATCCAGGGATGTCCGTGCTTCTTTTTCTTTGGGACAGTCCAGGGTATGTATGGTTGAGTTACCCGATTGTATAACTGCCTGAATAGAGTCCATGCCTCTTGTACTGATGCCTTTGAGTCAATTTCCCAGTTCTCAGCCGATGCTGCGGAGTTAATTGCCTGCATATCTGCCTTCCATATGTTAGGACGGGCCGGCGCAATTGTTTGACAGCCAATCTCAGCCATGAATTTGAATAAGATGACTGCATGGTCACTTCTCCCAAGTGGTGGGAGAAAAGCCGTTTGACCAACGTCATCACCGTGTGTGAAGACTAAATCTAAAAGAGAGAAGAGTTTCTTAAGTCGTATCTTGTGGGATCTCTAATGTGTTGGAATAATGCTAGTCCAATCGAGGTTTCTAACAGTTTGGAGTCGAACGACGATATAGATGACTCTACTTCTAAGTTAACCCAGTTTATATATGGTGCATTAAAGTCGCCTACTACAAGGCTTTTACCGTTGTTACACCAGGACTTAGGTTTACTGAGGAGAAAATCATCTGCTACACATTCTGGACTGCGATAAACTACAACTACTTCAATATCTTGCCTTCGGCATTTCAACTTACATCTCACCAGTTCACATGTCCCTGAAACATGTGCTACTGTCTCAGCTAATCTTATGGTTAGGGTACTTTTCGTGTACACAATAACCCCGCCTCCCCTTCGGTTTAATCTATCAGCCCTACTGGTTATGAAACCAGTCAATTGGATTTCACTATCTAATACTTCTGACGTTAACCAAGTTTCCGAGACAGCGATAACGTCCGGTTTTTCTTTATCCACCACTGACTTCAGCTCCGCCATTTTATTTAGTAGGCTGCGAGCATTTGTGTAGCACACTTTTAAGTCTGTGGAGAGCTTTCCCTTGCCACCCAGAGTGGCTTGGGGATCGTTTTGCTCCGAACTTTTACAATCTGAAAACCCTTAAGAACGAGGTTTCTTTCACCGTTTCGGCGACGCTCGTTTATTTCCGCTTCTGCAGCTCTTCTCTTAATACGATCAGCTAGGCTGAGGTCCTCACGGACATATATTCCGGATCCAATCAGTTTACGTGAATTACTTAGAATCAGGTTCCTTTCTTCCACCGTGTTGAATGTAACCTTTAGGAGGCGGTTTTTCTGAGGACTTTCGGAATCCACCTTTTTTCCTATTCTATAAAGCTTACAAATACTAACTCCTGAAACTGTATCTGGGAGTAGTTTACTTAATGATGTCTTAATATGATTGAGATCATGTTCAAATCTTGCCTTTGGTTCAGTATCTGAAGATTCTCTTATCTTATGAAAAATGACTGATCTCTCAGAGAGATCTGTCTTTTCACGCGGTGAGGATTTTTCTTCTGATAACATCCCTTCCAATGTCTTGCTGACCAGCTGCGTTTTGCCTACAGCCTTTTTCTTCTTATTTTTTTCTTCTTACCGAAGTCCATTTGTCACCACTCAGAACAGCCACACCTGGACTATGTGGAACGGTGACAGTTTTATCCGGATCTTCTATTTCGACTAGAGGTGTATGACTGCCGATGTCAATATCAAGCGACACTTCATTTCTCGTTAATGTCAACGGAGATTTCACGTTCCCGTCAACCGCAGTCAGGTGTTTAATGGGTCCAGTAGCAGCACTTACTACACTGACACATTCTTCATCGTCAGTGCTCCTGTTATCAGTGCTTCCGCCATCGTTTTTCTTGCAGGCCAAAGCCAATAGGCCCATAGCCTCCTGTATTAGTACCTTTTTATCCGTACAGCAGAACATACAAAGCCAATGCGAGTTAGGCTTCGAGCATCTTTTGTAAGCCGTCGGACTTAGTCGTGTACACATTTTGTGATACCACTTTTTACAGTCGTCACACTGCATTCCCTCCTCAACGGAGAACAAACAATTTGGTTGCCCACATTTGTGAGTCTTACCAACCATTGTAATTGGATTTAAAAGGTTTAAAAACAAGGATAGGTCCACTGAATGTGGGAGCTTCTAGAAATCGTAACCTTATGTGCCTTTAGTATATCTAAGGCTTTTAGGGTGGTGCAGGATGAAGTCACTCGTTCCATATCACAAGGGGGCTGAAAGAGGGAGCAATTAAAAGAAAGGACGAGAGGCAGAGTAGCCAATATTCATGAAGAAATGTTTAAGGTATGATCATTCAAGCTACTTTTCTTTTATTAAGGTATTTGTTAAGAAAGAGCTTTTTAATAGTAAAGAAAATAAGTGTTAACAAGGTGTGAGTGAACATACAACTGACAAATGGAGGCGATTCGGAAAGGAGTTGAGAGTATGAAATTATGTGTGGTTATGCAATAAAATATAGTGCTAGAAACAGTATTGTGATATACAGTTGGCTACCTTCCTTTTTCGAAGCTATTGAAGCCCATTTCGTTTTTTGTATTGTTATTTTTTTATAGGTATCATAGGGTCTTGAGTAGGCTTCGTATATTAGCGAATTGTCTATTTTGTCTGTCATAGGATTTCTGGGTAGGAAGTGAAACCAATTCAACGTTCGTAACACGATTTAATGAGGTATTTTGCGTGATAAATCAACATCAATACCATTAGTTCGTGACATCCCACTAAACCATAAGGAGCCGTTATTAAACAAATTGTTCTGCCCTACCATCATGTTTGCTGGTCAGTAATGCCACTCTCCCTCCTTTTGTGATGTTAGGCTCTCTTACGTTTGTGGTAAGTATGAATACTGCTTTAATCAAAGCCCATGGTTGGAATACACTGTCTCTACTAGGTCCATGTTACAAGCAAATCAGATAGTTGAAAATTTTGTTTTATGCGTTAGATGTCCACATAGTATATCACACTGCTATGAAAATAACTAATGGTTTAAAGAAGTAAGGGCCAATAGCAAATCAAAGGATATGAGAGGGTATAAAATTATAGAAAAAAAAAGATTTCATGGTAAGACAAATAAAACATTGAGAAACTCACAAGACTTTGTGGCCAGATTTTGAGCTTCGTATGATCGGCCTTAGTAGATCAGCATCCATAAGATTGAGCTGTCTATCTACTTGCAGTAGAAAAAAGGCATGACTTTTAGATAGAATAATGTACATTTAACCTGTAGAGAGATTTGGGAACTGAAAGCTAGAGTTAGCAGCATAAGGCCATGATTAATAAACAATGAATAATAGGAAAGGATAAGCCATATATTCTGTGACTTGGTTATATTCATATTAGTAACAGTCGAACTTGTTATATTCTTGTTCTTTCTAGATACTAGGCGGTCCGTAATAAAGTGCCTCATTGGTGGGCGGGAGTTCAAGGAAATGTTGAAGCTCTTTGGAGTCTACAAATAGGGTTATTAGCTTTTTGAATCTCGGAAACGTATCACAGTTACAGATAGGCATTGGCAGCCTGTTCCACAATAAACTATACCGTACTGTAAAAAACTTACAACGCATTTGTTTTTGGTGTTTTACGGTAAGTAGTGTATATGCGTTGTTTCTAAGTTTATAGGCTGGGTCGTGGGTCATAGTCGTACAGGAGGTTAGAAAGGAGAGCCCATATATCACTTTGTAGAGAAATATTAAATTGTTCTTTAGCCTACGGTGCCATAAAGGTTCTAAAGATAGGTGTTTACATCTATCTATGTAATCGAGATTCGAGTTACATCCTAGTAGTTGACGTGTGAAACGTCTTTGAACATCTTCTACTCTTATCTTGTCTGTGATATTCATATTAGAGAAGACAAAAGAGCAGTATTCAAGGGAGGACCGTACACATTTTTTGTAGAGAGTAAGCTTAGCCTCTGTTGTGAAAAAACTATTCTTTAAGAAACCAATTAGCCGTGTAGATTTAGAAATAATAGAGTAGGCATGTTCTTCAAAGTTCAGGCTTCCTGTGTAATTAACTCCTAAATCGTGTACTGATTCGAGTGTTTGGACTCTACGTTTATTTAAGTGAAGTTGCGGTCTATAGGGATGTTTTCCAAAGTGCATGATCCCGCACTTGTTGAGGTTAAATGGCAATTGACATTTTTCGCTCCAGATAGTGAAGTTATTGAGGTCATTTTGAATCAGGGATACACTTTCGCTTAGTGTCTTAGGCTTATAGCTGTATACTATTTTGAGATCATCAGCATATAAGTATGGTTTCCCAAATTCTATGGTGTCACATATATCGTTTATATACATAAGAAACAAAAGTGGACCTAATACGCTTTAGTTTGATGAGTAGCCTTTTGTGTGGGACCTTATCAAAGGCTTTCTTAAAGTCTATGAATAATACTGATACATGTAGTCTGTTGTCTTGTTTCAGAGTTATATCAATCAGGTAGTCTACTAGGCATGTATCGCATGATCTGGACCTAAGGAATCCATGCTGGTAGGTCGAGATGAGATTATTGGTAAGTAGATGTTGGACTACAGCCGCCTTAACTACTTTGTCCATCACTCTGAATACCACTGAAGTTATGTTTATAGGCCGGTAATTTTCGACGTTTGCTTCAGGTGCTGTTTTAATTTTGGGAATGATATGTGTAGTTTTCCAGGCAGTAATGTAACAAGCTGAAGAGAGTGATATCGCGAATAGTTTGAGAAGCAAAACACACATATCATCACCTCCACGTTTTAGCATGCTAGATGGAATACCATTTGATCCATCAGTGTAGGAGTCTTCAATGTACTGATTGCCTTGGGGACATTTTGTACATTGAATTCTACATTAGTAACTTCACAGGGAGTACCTGGGATTGGTTCTGAATCATTAAATGGTTTTTCGTTAGTTAGTGATAAACAAAAATATTCACTAAATAATTCTGTGACAAGTTTGGGATCTTCGTATACGTGTTTGCCTTTAATGAATATACTCCCTCTCGATTTAGAGCGTTTAAGTTTATTTTGGAGTAGCAAGATGAGTGCAGAGGAGTTATTATTAAGTTCAACTGCACGTTTTTCCTGTGCGACTGCTTTTTGTTTACTTATTGTCTCTGTTCGGACAAGTATTTCTGTCATCGTTATTAAAGAGGAAAAGTCATTTAAGTTGTGGAATCGAGTACAATGTCTTTGAAGACGTCTTCTTGTACTGACCGGTATATAGAGATCTTTGGAGAACGTAGGTTTACAGTATTCTAAAGGTGCGATGTTGTTGATGATACTTTTGATGTTGTGATAAAATATATTGGTTAATGTGTCGGTATTGTTTGAGCTAAAGAAAGTTCTCCAATTAGTGCTTCTTAGGTAATTGTAGAAGTTATTCCAATCAACCTTGCGATAGTTTCTACGAAGTGTTACGGTTTTACTTCTACCGGTTGTGGTTTTCACATTAAGGCTGCATATGACAATATTATAATTACTACCTGGGAACTTTTTTCTAATATACAGAGTATTGGGGATGAGGCCACTGGTAAAGACTAAGTCTAAGATGTTTTGATGTCTGGTAGGGCTATCGACATACTGAGTCCATTCTCCGAGCTCTAGACATTCAACAAATGATTCATAACTTCTCGGCGCTTTGACTGGGAGCCAAGAAATTTCGGGCATATTGAAGTCACCACAAATGAGCTTGCCTGTGAATGAGAGGGATGATGCTAGTGTGAATACCTCCGATAATACTGCTATTTCATCTATTGATGCGTTAGGTTGACGATAAACACAGTCGAGCAGTAAGGTAACGGAATTCGACGGCTTTAATACAATCCACACCGAATCCTTCAGTTTGTTTAGTTCAGGCATGTCACATCCTCCGCCTCGTCCATTCAGTCTATCGCTTCTATATAGGAAATAGTTATCAAGAGATATACTTCGGTCGGAAATATTGGCCTATATGTAGAACAATAAACCAAAGTTACTTATCGGATAGTATCAAAACAAATTCACCGCTCTATTTTATTTTCGAAATGTCGGATAGTATTATTGATTGCCTATGATAGTTTCTTATGAACGATAAATCGTCTTCGTTGTTGTGAATGACATATTGCCTAGAAATAATGACGGAGACATTAAAAAGGGGACTGCAAATGTCTTCATGTGAGTGGCATTATCCTGTGGAAATCCACCACACTACTCTCTACTCCTTAGATGTTTCAAATGTTTACAAGACATTATTGTTTGCTATGCTTACACTCGTCTTAGAAGTTCAGGGTTTTATCCTTTGAAATGGTTTAAGTAAAAAAATTGTGAAAAGACTAAGTAGAGTTAAAGTAGCAGATGAACATGTATCAAAATTGGATGAGATGACACTTACACGATAGTCAAACTCTTACAAATGTCACAATTGATTGATCACTGGGTGGTGATCAGCAGTCACCAGTAATTATGAAATCGGGTAACAAACAAATCGATTTTGCGTATGAGCAGTCAGTGAAAGTTCATAAACCGCTGGAAGGATTGCAATATGACTAGACCTATGACGCTTCTGGCACCCAAAAAGCTAGTTTATATTACGCTACCATTCAG